GAACACTTAAAGAGTACATTAAGAAGACTTTGGCAAGTCTAACCTTATTTGTACATGTTTATACGTTCAAGAGATATCAGGTTTGTATTTTTTAAAAAAAAAACCTGGCCAACAATTTACTACATATATTTATAATTAGACTGATATAAAATACTCTAATAAAAGATCCAGTATATACGTATGTGAAAGAAAAATAAATAATTATTAAGCATTACTACAACTGCATTAAGCAAATACTTACGTATTAGTCATTATGATACCCATTATGACCATTACATTCATTATAACTGTTGTATTCATTACGTCCATTACACCTATTACGACTATTACACCCATTACAACTATTATACCCATTACAGCTATTACAGCTATTATGACAATTACAGCTGTTACAACTATTACACCCATTATAACTATTACAGCTATTATAACAATTACAACTATTATGATTATTACATCCTTTACAGCAAAAAATTACAACTTTAAGTCAAAGGGTTGCAACTTTACAACTCTATCAAATCTATTATGGCAGGCAACCTTAGTCAGACCCAACATACAGATCAGACTATAATACCTTGCATAGCTGTAAGAGCTGAGCATATGATGATCAACTCTGTAGAAGACAATTTTGAAAGATCATTTACAACATCTTTAATCTCCTATAATCTTTATATATGTTTTAACGAATTCCTTCTTTATTACAATCTATCATTCCTTCCTCATAGTCAAACTATTCAAACTTTAATTCAACATATTGATAAATATAATAATAATAAACAGTATCCTGCATCACATTCTCTATTAACTCATCTTATAATAAAACTCATATATATCTTTCTAATGATACTCTTTTACCAGATCATATTGTAATTACTCTATATATTCTTTTTATATTTTATAATCTTCATCTTAGATCTAATCTCTTTAATGCTACTTCTATTTTATTTGATTTATTTTTTGATAACTATTTTTCAACTTCTAATTACAATTCTTCTTTATCTTTATCAAATCCAACTCTTTATCATCTTAACCTAACTATTACTACACACAATATTAGAGGTTTTAATAATCCTACTAAAAGAAAAACATGACAGGATTATTGTCTTAATCATAATATATCTATTGCAAGCATTACAGAAACAAAAATTTCCGATAAATCTAACATTTTTTTCTGCAATAACAATTTTTTACTTACTACTGGTCTAATTCTTCTATCTTTATAGAAGGCACTGCTATTATAATTCACAATCATCTTAAACTTTATATTCACAGTATTCATACTTATCTTGAAGATGATATAGCACTTGATATTTTTTTTCAAAGTAATATCAAGTTTCATATTATTTCAGTATACCTGTCATCAACTGATACTTTTATTCATAACCAAACTCAAAACAAAGTAATTAACTGAATCTAACAAGCTTTTCAACTTTATATTCATCTTATTATCCTTAGTGACTTTAATACACAGGACAATACTCATAGCTCCTCTTCTAAATATAAACTTATTAACTTTCTTAATAATTCTAATATGTATAATATTGGAATTTATTTTAACAACAAATATTCTATCTAGTCTAACAACATTAGTAGTAGTTGTATCAACTACATCTGAACTGACCAATTCAATATACAATTCTTTCTTTTCTACAGTCTTAATAATAGTCAAACTTCTACCTTTAGTGACCATTTAATTCTTTCCTTTACCTAGACATTTCTACATGCTTATAGCAAATTTTTATATATACACACTGGCATTAACTATTATATTTTTAACTACAAAGCCATGTTTACAAAGAACTAGAAATCCTTTGTAGATACTTTATCTCAACAACTTCTATTACACAAAATTCCTACCAACAATGAAACTCATAAGAGTATTGAAACCACTTGGCACAAAATCTAATGCTTCATTATTTATACTACTACTCATACTATTCCTAACAAAGTTTCTGGTAAATGCAGCTACAATTATCAATATTTACATCACAGTACTCTATTACATCTATCTTTTAAAAAACTTGGTCACATTATTAAACTTGTTAAAAAACTCACTCAACATTCCAATACCTCTTACATTAATCAAAACATCTCTTAAATTAATAAACAGTTACAATGTAAGCTTTAATTACTTACTTCTACTAACTTAACCTTTATTCAAACTTGGCTTCAGCATGCCCACTCTATCTGGAAACAACTATTTCATACCCATCATCTTGAAAACTCTCTTTTACTCTGATAACAAATCAACCAAGCTACTGACAAAAGATATGTTAACCTTACAACACATTTTATTTAGGCTATTACCACTAATCTGTTCACTTCACTAATATAAAACTTCCTCAAAAGCTTATTACTAACCCACTAATCATTAAACAACATGTTTGATCTCATTTTTAAGACTGAACTGCATACAGACCTATTAATCAAACTATCTTTAATAATTTCTAACAACAGCATTATTTCTTTTTTCTTTACATTAATTCAACCTGATATCATTCTCACAATTCCCCTATTACTAATGATAAATTTCTTAGAACTTTTTTTTAACTACCAAATAACAAAGCTTTGTGATTTTATAAACATTAGTTATAAAATACTTAAACATATTAACCCACAATACACTTCTGCTATTATTACTATATTACCTTCTTTAACTGTTGTCTTTTTAAAAACAGAATTTTCAAGCAATGAAAACATAGTCACATTTATCCTATCCCTAAACAAAATACTTTTGATGATGACTTCAATCTTACTTAACCTATTAGTCTTGTTGAATATATTTGCAAACTTTATATCAAAATTCTTACTAATCAACTTAGTTCTATATTTTCAACCTATTCTATTCTCTCATCTTTTAATTATGTTGCCTTCTCTAACAACAGTACCTCAATTCTTATTCATATTCTTAACAATCTTATTGAAAATGCTTCTTGCAATTATAAGAATATTTGGTTACTTTTACAAGATATGAATAAAGCTTATGATTCTGTTAACTTTATTCTCTTTAAACATGTACTCTCTTACCTCTCACTTCCTTTATCTACTATTAACATTCTCTTTGACCTTCTTACTGATTGTTACAACCAAGTTATAACTAATCTTAGTTTAACTTCATCCTACTCAGTTCACAATAGTATTGACCAAAATAAAACTATTACCCTATTGTTATGACATATTTACTATGATCCACTTATCTTCTATATATACTTAAACACTTCTGGTTACAAATTACAATTCTCTTGAACTACTAATCTTAAACTTCAAACATCCAACTCATTACAAAAACAATGCTCTGTCTTGGCTTATATGGATGATACTCTTTGGATTGCTTCATTATAATCTGAACTATTATATATATTATCTATAGCTGAATCTTTCTATGCTATGGTCAATATCTAAGTTAATCTTTCAAAATCCATTCTGGTCACCAATAATTCTCCATCTTACTATACACCTATCTCTTATAATAACCATCTTTATCCTCTTTATTCTTCTAAAATACCTTTTAAATTTTTAGGTTGTTGGTTTACTTTGGATAACAAACAATTTAAACAAACAAAACTCTCATCTCTGAATCTTCTCAACTAATCCAAATTACTAAAACCAAACATATTACTGACTTACATGCTCATTATATTATTAACACAGTGATTATTCCTATTCTTAAATACTGACTTCAAAATATTGTAATCAATCAATCAACTTGCAATAAAATTTTTACTTAGCATATTGGCCTTATCAAACTTAAAGTCAAACTTTGTTATACAATATCTTTTAGTACTTTTTTACATCTACAAATTTATAACATCAAACATATTTGGAACATTTAACTGCAACACCATATTCCTAACCTTCTCAAACAACTTAATAATTCTGATCTATTAGGCACATCTACTCATATTCAAATCCAACAATTACAAAACAATCTTTAGTCTTTAACTAGTATCTTCTCTCCTCTTAACTCAATTATCGATGATCCTAACTGTCTAACTACAAATTTTAAAATTATACAGCTTATTAAACATATTGGTTGAACATTCTTAATTAATCCAATATATAACATTCCTTATACTTTACATGATAGAACTATCTCTCTTGAATCTCTTCTTTCCTCTTATTCTAAATATCTTGTTTTCAAAAAACAACTTAGATAATACAAACTTTTCTTCTTTGACCAACTTACTACTTATGATAATTTATACTTATTACACAGGTCAAATAAATCTATACTGGATAAATATCGGAAAGCTGATATTAAATAAAAGTTAACTGATAGGTTCACGATATTATAATGAGATTTAAATCTGATATGTTACTGATATGAAACAGAAATTTGGCAGGAATAGGATACCTTTCAGAATTATATCGGACAATTAAAATAAATCTTTCGGCATTATTTCATTTAACTGAAAATTAATATCGGCATTTCAATAACTTAATCGAAATTCTGATATTAATTATATAGAAATAATATCGGTAAGTTTCAGGACACTTATCATAAGCATAT